ACTCCCAGCTCGGAGAGCCTCCCCAGGAGGATACCGTGGTCGACGGTATCAAAGGCAGCTGAGATGTCGAGGAGGACCAACAAGGGCACATTACCCCCATCGGCCTCCCTCAACAGGTCATCCAGCAGTGCGACCAGTGCCGTCTCTGTACCATAGCGTGGCCTGAAGCCCGACTGAAATGGGTCTAGAGCATTGGTTTCGTCTAAGAGCGCCTGAAGCTGGTCTGCCACCACCCTCTCAACCACTTTGCTGAGGAAGGACACACTGGCGACGGGCCTATAATTGCCAGTTTCATCCGCCGCCAGATTTGGTTTCTTCCTGATGGGCCTAATGAGTGTCTCCTTGAGGGCAAGGGGTACCTTGCCCTCCTGGAGAGACCCATTAATTATTGCAGTGGCCCATTCAGTTGTTACCGGCCTGGCTGGTTAGGCCTCACCTTGAGTACTGTGTCCAATTCTGGACACCACACTTCCAGAAGGATGCTAACAAATTGGAATAAGTTCAGAGGAGGGCAACAAGGATAATCGGGGGCTGGAAACCAAGCCTTAGGAGGAAAGGCTGAAAGAATTGGGCATGTTTAGCCTTGAGAAAAAAGACAGAGGGGTGACATGATAGTACTTTTCAAAAAATTGAAATACAGAGGAGGGACAAGATCTCTGCTCAATCTTCCAGGACACGCAACAATAAGCTCAAGTTAAAGGAAGCCAGATTTTGGTTGAATATCAGGAAAAGCATCTTAACTGTTAGAGCACTATGACAGTGGAACCAGTTACCTTGGGAGTTGGTGAGTGCTCCAACACTGGAGGCATTCAAGAAAAACTTACCGTATTTTTCCATGTAAAAGACTATACTTTTGCCTAAAATCTTTACACTAAAATCTGAGGGTCATCTTATACATGGAAGTAAGCTGAAGACAGAACAAAAACAAGTGGAGGGAAAGCAGGGATCAAAGCGATCCTGCAGTGCTTTGATACCTTTTCCCCTACACTTCTAAGCCCCACTTGGATTTCTTAATTTTGGATTAGAAAAGTGTTGGGCGTCTTATACATAAAGGCGTCTTATACATGGAAAAATACGGTAATCACCTGGCAGATATGCTTTGATGGTATTCCTGCATTGAGAAGGGGGCTGGACTTGATAACCTTGATTGCCCCTTCTAACTTCACTTTTCTATGATTCTATGAAAGATTCCAACCCTAAAGCGAACCATTTAATAAGGCTAAAGCCAGCTGAGACTCCATGAACACTCTAATACCTTAATACTTCCCTGTAGCCTTGGAAAAGGCATTGGAGGAGAACTGAGACAACTAAACAAATGTAGTGGTGGGAGAGGCTGTCCTTGCTTCTGCTCAGCTCTCTGAACAAGGCCAAGGGGCAAGCAGGCTCACAAGGCAAGGAGCTGTTAAAGGGAAACTTACTCCTAACTACCATTGTAGGTGAGGTACAACTTACAAAATTTAATGTGAAAAAGAGCAACTGACATGATCAGACATGGTTTCTCTGACTTGGAGTGCCCTGCCATTGTGTCCCAGGGCACAACTACATTACTGTACTAAATAACACCAAACCTGGATACTTTAGAAGGCAGAATCAGTATTGAACCAGTAGAAACAAAATGAGTTTCCAAGGGGGGAAAACGTTAAAGAATTAGGCAAGTAAAAACAGATGCACAAATATAAGATGGGTGACATCTGGGTCAGCAACATTATATGTGAAAGGGGTCTAGGTGCCTTAATAGATCACAAGCTAAACATGGCACAATGGAGTAGGAGAGCAACAGCAGCAAATATTAGGCTGCTGCAACAGAGATGTAGGAAGTACAAACCCCACTCTGTTCTGCCTTGGTCGGACCTTTCCTGAAATACTGTGCCCTGTGTTCTGGCCACCACAGTTTACACAGGATATTAAAAAGCTGGTATATTTCCATAGCAAGGCAATAATATATCACAGCAATATGATACCCACATATTTGGAAGGCTGAACTGGAGAAGATGGAGCAAGCTTTTGTTTATTAGCTCCAGATCAGTGGTTTTCAACCTTGGGTCGCCAGATTTTATTGGACTAAAACTCTCAGAAATCCTGACCAGCACAGCTCGTGGTGAAGGCTTCTGAGAGTTTTTGTCCAACAACGGATGGGGTCCCAAGGTTGGGAACCACAGCTCTAAAGTGAAGGGCCTGAAGTAATGGATTCAAATTATGAGATACGAGACTTCACCTAAACATTCAGAATTTGTTGTACACCACTCAGAGACCACTAGTAATAGCGCAGCTTAAAAAAATCGTGTAAATAAGCAACTTCTTCACAGCAATAGCTGCTTAATATGGAATGGACTGGTGGATTCCCCCTTATTAGAGGTTTTCAAACAATCAGATGGCTATTTGTCAGGCATGGTTTAAACATGAACGTCCTTGCTTTGGCAATGATTCTTGGGGTGCCTTTGTTCAATGATTCCATTATTTGAATTTCCACCCAGCCTCTTGCACTTTGATAACTTCCTATTTCCACGTTATCTGGCCATGTAACTTGAAGGGAAGAAGAACAGCTCAGTGGAAGAATAGAAAGCACCTGCCAACTAACCCTACTTCCTTCATTGACAACATGAAGGAGAGGTGGTGGATCTTTAGCAGTCTTAATTTGGATTTCCCATCTAGACGTCAGCTCCCAATGGCCAACAGTAAGGGATGATGGGAATTCTAGTACAAAATATGTGAAGGATCAGAGATTCCCAATCCTGGTGTAACAATGAATTAACATTTTAAAATGTTGTGACCTCTGTTGGAGGTTACGGTGGCCAAAGGAATCTAAGTATTTAAAAATGAAATAATGAATGTTATTGACAATCTAGACCTGTTGCCTATTGTACAGATTTTTTTAAAAATCAGAAGATTATCTGGAAGGCTTTCTGTATACATTTTATTACGTTCTAGGATCAGTTCCAAACATCGATTGAGATATTGCACAACACCAACAACAAATAAAGAGCAGCAGCTATTCATGATTTCCTTTCACAGAAGGATTCTATAACACAAATGGGTTTATATCTGCATTCTAAACAAACATCAACAGTGAAGAAAAGTAGCACGTCTTATTCGGTTCATTAACTGCGGCAGAAAATAATTTTTTTATCATACATAAAAATGCAGATTCATTCTTAAATAAAATTTAAACATTTAGGTATTTACACCATGTTCGAAAAAAGCTTCTTAAAAAAGAGAGAAATAGGACTTAATACAATGTCCAGATCTTTGCAAAAACAAAACAGAAGGAGGAAACAAAGAAAAAAGCTCCACAGAAAATATTTCCTCACATTTCCTATCAGGGAAGCCCCTTACAACTCCACTGCTCCTTGAGGTATGTCCCTCTCCCCTCCACAAGTTCAGGCAGGAGTTAAGATTTTGCATGCTTCAAAAAGTTTTGGCTATCAAACATTGTAAGATCTACTCTGTAGACAACATTTCAGCCTAACAGGACTGTGTTAGCAACCTGCAACTTAAAAAAATAAAAGCAGCAGTAAAGTACAAAGCTTACAGAGGAAGAAAAAAAAAGTCACAGTACCAGTTGGACAGGTCCCTGGAGCAATTCCTAGATTTCATTTAAGGCACTGTTTGTTACATTGCAAGCTCTTTGGAAACGGACTTCAGACTTGCTGTCACTGAAGTATACATAAATTTTAAAGTGAAACTTGGCAGACGTTGGCAGTTTAATTTGGGCCCAAGTGGTTGTTCTGTTTTCCCCACATCTCTTCCTGTCCAAAGTTTCAGAGTTGCAATATGTAGCCTTTTTAGCTCGTCATCTCTACCATAATTATTGTTTCGCTTAAGATATGAAGCTCCAGACCAAACCATGTAAACTAAAAAGCTTAATTCTGAAATATTTGGACTACTGACCTTTTCTAGCAGAAGATCAATGTGATTGTTTTTTAACCACAGTACCAACTACACCAGACATGAAGAACTTGCACTTTTTTCAATATTGATTAACTGTTAGCCCCACTGTACCTCAACACTGACCATGCCAATGAGAATCAGGGTTCAACAACATCTAAATAGCCAGTTTCCCAGTCCTAACCTATATATTACAGCAGCATGTAACTTATTTTTGTGTGAATCCATCTTGTGGGGCTGCCATAAATTCTGAAGGGCCAGCACCAAGTTTCAGCCAGATCTTAGCCACCTGGTGAACTTCCCTAGTGACGAGTGATGCAATGTAAACATCACTGGGTGGCTGCCATTTTAATTTCCCACAATGCTCCAAACATAGCATGATTAGGATTTTAAAAGCTGACCAGAACTGACTGGAGTATCAGGAAGCAATCTCTCAAAGCACAGGAGTATTCCCAATTGTTGTATGCTAATGAAAGGTCCGGTGAGAGACAGTTATGTGGGCCTTTTCTATACCACCTACATCCTAGTCCCTTAATATGTTACAGCACTCTAAGCCACAAAGAGGTTGCGCCCCTTGATCTGTTGTAATGTACCAAGAAGATGTGATGTTCTTTGGACCAGAGATTTATTCCATGGAAGTCCTCTGCACCACCCAAGTCTTCCAAAATACTGCTTCTCTGTGTTTCTGTACAGTGTGAAAGTGTTTAACTCTCAGACAACTGAGCCTTCTACCCACTGATTCCTCCCTAATATCACTGGATGTCAGTATGACTGCATGAAGGTAAATAACAAGAGAAACTACTCCTAAATTCTGAGTTACCTTGGCAAACAACTGTTGTCCTCCATCTGAAAGGACAGAGAGAAGATTCAGCTCACCTTCATTCAGAACTGCTGATACTGTGTTATATCATTGTCACATTTTAAATAATCCTTCATGATCTTTGCAGCATGATAACATCTATTACATGCTGTACACAGCTTTATCGGTAGTTTTACAAGATAAGTAATAGGTAATAGGAAGACAGAACCCCATACAGCCATTAAAAAAATAAAAAAAAACTTCCAGAGTAATCATGATGAAAATGGTCTGCTTTACCAGCAAATTCGATACAAAATCCTTAAAAATAATGCAATTGAAGGCCATATTTGAGCTGAGTGGGCTGTACATCCAGGACTATTCCAGGTTGACTACAATTACACATCGTATTTATGGCACATATTCAGGTTTCTAGATGAAGAAACCACCTTTTTCCATTTTAGTACAAGGAGCTATCGGTACTCAGAAGCGTGAAAGGAGATGTGAGTTTCTTCTTAGTTGGAGAACTTCCAGTTACAGCAGCAGGAAGGCAGAGTGTGCTGGCTGCCTTCTGCCTGTTCTTTGTTCCCCAACTCAAAAAGGACAGTTTAGGAGTTCCTTTCTTGGCCTGATCTGTTTTATCTTCTTCCATGACCAAACAAACCAGCGAGTATGTTTTCTGCATTCCTACAGAGTAAGTTGCGCTTTTGTTGTGCTGGAAGCAGGGGAGGAGGAGAAAGCAAATGAAAATGAGATCAGTCATCTGTGATACATTGACAAAATTTGGAAAGAGAACAAAAGGAAACAGTTTGTGAATCGTTTTCTGAGACAGACTTCATTATTCTTCTGTGTTAATTATATTCTGTTTTGGGAACCGAACAAGCTAGACACTGAACTCCAAGAATTCTTGTTTATTATTAGATCCTTCGGAAGGCACCTGGGAGAAACATGTTTCATAATGAGGTTTGTCCAGTGCTTCATCTTTCTGAGAAAAGGCTCTTTATGCCCCATGGCACAGTGATTAAATTGCAGTACTGCAGTCAAAGACTCTGCTCACAACCTGAGTTCAATCCTTATGGGTTCAAGTAGATAACTCAAGGTTGACACAGCCTTCCTTCCTTCCTTCTGAGGTTTGTAAAACGAATACCCAGCTAGCCGGGGTGGGGTGGGTGTGGGTGGAGTTGTTGCATAATTATGCTGTAAATTGCCCAGAGAATGCTATAACACTATGGGGTGGGATACAAGTTGGAAAAAGAGAGACATAACATGTGTGCATGAAGTGAATGCATTTTAAGATAATATTTTGTATTATTTTAATACAGAGCATTAAGCACTCCCCCCCCCAATGCTAGAGTTAAATATATTACTACAAACAATCTTGCCTCCCACTTTATTGGGGACATCTTATTGGTTGAATAACAGCACAGTACTACACATAAAAATAACTTCAGTTAAAAAAAAACAAATATATAGTTCTGTCTACTAAGAAGCAAGTCCCACTGAGTTCAGCAATGCTTAATACCATGTTGTTTCTGTGTAGGATTACAACTAAGTGCTTTAAATCGAGTAAGACTGCAACCTTAGCTATGACAATCTATTAAAGGACTTTCTGATCAGTAGTGAACCATTCTCCCCATTACTTACGACGGAAGGCACAGTATCTTGGCAGCTGATCACTTGCATCTCCATTTTTTGCTCTTTCAAGTTCTGGATCTTCTCCCAGACCTCAGCCACTCCCAGCCATTTGCAATCCGTGCCTTCAATGGCAACAATGCAGTCTCCTTCTTTCAGACCTGCCAACTTAAAATCATCACGCACACCTTAGTATCAACTAACATGGTGCAAAATATGAAATATTTTTTCTGTACTGTGGTCTCTGAAGGCAATTTACTTTCTTCAAGGATTATTAATGTGTAAACTATAAGATCCTATAAGATCGTTGCACGCAGGGCGGCTGAGAGTTCTGACCCTGAGAGAGGCCCGAAAAACACTAGAAATTGGGCCTTCTCGGCGGTAGCCCCACAATTATGGAACTCTCTTCCGCCCGAAGTCCGCCTGGCCCCTTCATTGGGTGCATTCAAAAAGCTATTAAAAACCTGGCTATTTAGACAGGCCTTCCCTGAACAAACTATACTCTGATACAATAGTGTCCAATAATATAACTTCTATCATACTGCCATGCTCCATGTTATAATTGTTTTACACTTTAAATGGTATTTATTGTATTATTTTATCCTCACTGCACTTTATGATTTTTGATTTTCGCCCCATGTGTTAATGTTGCTATTTGCTATTTTGTTGTTTGTTGTTATTTGTTTTAAATTGCGCCAAGTGGCCTTGGCTGCCAGATGGGTGGTAAGAAAACAAACAAAAACCAACCACCTGCTGCTCAACTGCAAAATGATGGATTTCAGTATGGGGGCCAAGATTGGTATTATAGGTTGCAATTCTTTGCAGAAAGCACCACTGAACAGGCCATGTTCTGGATAAACATGTCCAGGGTGGCAAGAGTTAAAGATATAAACAAGGGGCACAGCGGAGTGGCAGAACACATGCTTTACAGGTGCAGCTTCATCATACAAAAATATGGTTGCTCCTGATGCCAGCAGACCTCTGTACAAACTATCCTCCCAACCAGAGTTTGCAAGATACCAAATGAACCCAGGTTTGCAGACCTTTTCCTTCTGTCTTTTAACAGCTTTGCTGTATGCCTTGAATTAATCACAATCTGCTACAAAGGTTGAACTAATAAAGCCATGGTAAATGACCACTCTCCAAACACAAAAATCAGAAACTGACCATGTTGAAGGTCAGCCTTAAGCTATGGCACCATTTAGGATGCCAGAACAACTGATGGTGAGCACTAAGCTGCAATCTGAATGTTAAGCTGCATGCAAGAAAACTGGCTAGCTTCTAATCCATACTCTTGATGAGTGGCAACCCTACGCTAAATAGGGTTTAGCAAGTGATGGGATTTTACAGCAGTAATCTCTTTCAGCTCCTACAAAATATAAAGAGTACTGTGCACTTAACCAGAACCCACCATACTGTACAATACACAGTTTAGTCAACTTCAAAAAATCTAGGAGTTCCAGCAATGTTTACATTGTATTTTTGTGATGCACGTTCACAGTTCATAATCAACTTAGACATTAAAATACCCTATTCTATCCAGGGAGGGCAGTTCAAACTCAAACAAACAAACCAACAAAAACCCAACACCAAAAGATCTGATTAAAACAACTGGAGAACTGCAAGTCTATAGCCCTACTTATATGTTTAGTTCAATTGCATTTTTCTGTCCATTGCTGGCATGTTGTTTTGTTAATATTTAACTCCGGAAATGTAACTGAAATAATCATTTTACCCTCGGAACAAATGTGAAAGTTTACCATGTCCATCTAAGCTATACAGCAGAGCCATGAAAAACAATAACAAGGAAATTATAGGAGGGTTTTCCGCTTACTGCTGCAGGAGAAACTAAATCAAGACCATGAATGTGCACAGGGGGGCCTCCTTTCAGGGTAAATCCCGGGTTCCCAGCTTCACAGCAAAAACAAACTGTGCGAGGAGCAGTCCACTTCTGCTTTGCTGAAAACACTGTAAGTGGACCCTGAGACACAGACAGCATGAAATTAAACATTTCTCGCCATGAATGTGCAATTTTCAAGCCACACTGGAAACATTTCTCACTCAAACACAGACAATTCCTGTCACCTTAGCTAGAAACAGCATTCCAATCCTATGCTATATAATTAGACACCCAGCACTTGTCTTAGGCTTGACACAGATATCAACACATTCTACTGTCTCAATCATGACTGAGAAATTATTAGAGGTACAGTATCCCCTATATTTTGAGGGACTGGAATAACACTAGCTGCAGTGTCTGGAATTCTGCACCTATGCAATGAAGGCCAAATAAGCATGCCAAATAAGCATGCATGCATGCATGCATGGAGTCAAAAAACTCCTGAATTTTATCTTCAAACATATATCCCCAAATGAAGGTTAAAAAACAATGCGAAGACAACTAGCTATAACTGTCTTTTTTTGTACCGCAATGCCAGAAGAGCATCTAAAACTGTAGCCATGTACCAGACCACCTTTCTGATTTCTGAGAAACCTTCATAGCTACCTAATTTTCCCTTACCATCATCCAATCAAACTCCTTCTAACAATAAATTTATTTCATAATTTAAAATTAAAAAGGAATGTAACAACTAGTTAAAACGATCTGAAATGAAACCGAATGTGTAACATTTGAAAATAAACAAGCTGATTTTTTTTCCATTTTGAAAATCTTCTCTATCCTTCTACTCATAACTTGGGATAAGCATTTACCTCTTGTTTACACAGGCACCCATTTTGAAACAGAGCTCATGTTTACTTAGACAACAGAACATTAATTAAAAAATAGTCTACGGCTACTCATAAACCCTTAATGAAAATGCATTTGAAAAGCCCTTCCTTAATGAGATATTAGCATTGTAAGGAACTGAACATTGCTTATAGTTTGTTTCCTCTCTGATGCAAAAAGGAATTCACATTCATTAATTGTTAAAATGGCAGAGTGACACATAGAAGGAAACATTGAACAGGCAATAATACAGTTTTGTACATACCAGTCTCTCAAAGAAGTCTTTGACTTTCACCTTGGAAAACTGAGGAGCAATAACTTCTATTTTATGGTCTGTCTTAGCTAAAAAGAAAACCAAGCATATATTAGTCTTATTTCCTCCCAGGTTTATATTGCTCTCTCACCCACTCTCTTCTTCACAACAATTACAGTATTTCAACACTTTAACATAATCTAAAATCAGGTAAAGATAGCTACAATGTGTGAAAACCTTATGTAAAATATATATAATTATTAAAAGCATGTATTTTATATGTGTATGTACATGTACATACGTAAGACACGTAGAAGTGATAAAAGATTTCATCAGATGCATTTTTTAAAATACGTATTTTCAGATAAAATTAATTTTATATGAATTTCTGAATATAAGCATAGGCATACATATTTAATTAATTCATGATACAGTGGACCCTTGACTTACAGACGGCTTGACTTACAGACTTTTTGAGTTAAAGACTTCTCTGGCCGCAAAATTTAGGTTTGACTTGCAGACTGAGATTTGACTTACAGACCAGAAAAAAACCAAAATGGAACAAAAACGGCCTGTTACGGGATTAATCGGTTTTCAATGCACTGTAGGTCAATGGAGACTTGACCTACAGACTTTTTGACTTGAGAACCGCCTTCCAATACGGATTAAGTTCTCAAGTCAAGACCCCACTGTAAAGGCAAGATTTTTCTAGTTTAAATCTTAATTTTTATTTCATATTATTTGTTCTCTGAAACTGTATTCCTTCAGGCTACTTAAATAATTTTTCATTAAAAAGAAGCAGTTCCACTAATTTCTACCTTTAAGTCTTTATTGAGATTTGCTTTATTAAGCAGCTGCAGAGAATCGGAGCTCTGTGATTCTATGATGCTTAAGAACCTTCCAGATTTCAGCATCATAAATTACAATGAACACTTAAGCTCATAAATAACAAGAAACTGAATCCTTCTTAATAAGCAATTAAAGATTAATGAAAAGAAATGGGAAATACCCAGGAAGAGGTCAGCAATTGCAAGTTTCCTGCTTAAATTGTTTGTCTGTTATGTGCAATCAAGTCAAAACTAATTAATAGCAACTCCAATTGGGTGTTCAAGGCAAGCGAGATATTTAAGGAATGGTTTACACTGGTTCCACTCCCCCAGCAAGTTTCTATAGCTGAGTTGGGATTCAAATCCTGTTCTCCAGAGTCCTTAGCCCATCACTCTATGCACTACACAGCACTGGGAATCATGCTTAAATTAACACTGACAAAAAGATGGATAGCTTTGCCAAAGCCCCCCTTCAGACTTAGCAAACTGCAAACCACAATACATTTTTAGAAAAATTTCTGAAGGATATGGGAAGACGCTGGAGGCTGCTGTTCTCCACCCCTCCAGTGCCAGCCGAAGGGACACTCTTCTGTGTGAGCTTCTCTAAAATGTGAGGCTGTTGAATACACCTTCATCCACATTTTGTTGTGCCAGGAATCCAGATGTAAGAGAAATAATCCCTTCTCAAGTGAACACCAGGAGCTTTTGAATGCTTATCTACAGGAGGTTCTTTCAGTCTGGTCTTTGACCAAATTCAGAAATTTATAATTTCTCCAAGATCATTTAATCTTTAGAAGAGCTGGAAGTTCTTCTCTCCTCTACACATTCCTGCTCTTTCCAGGTGCAAATCACTTATGTGCAACTGCATAGAAGGTATGATGAATGTAAAAGTAAGTCAAAGAATCTTTGTAAATAATCCAAAGGCCCTGCAATTTTGAGAACAGAAGAACACAGGAGGCGCCATGTTGGCTCAAGCCCAAGCCTATCGAGCATTCTGTTCTCATGCTGTCCAAGCAGTTATCTCTAGGGATGAAAGTTTTGGATTTTCCAGACTTCAGATACCATAATTTTCCATCTGAGGAGTTCTACCCACCTTACAGACACTAAATGTTGTTCACCTGGAGGAAAGACCTAAACTAGAAGGTACTGATGTTTGGCTAGGCCTAGCTCCATGCCATGTCCTTTTCCTTCCCTGGTGCTAGTTGGGAACTTTCTGAGCAGGAAGTCTGGGTGCAGCGAGACCTAACCAAGCTTCAAGCTTTCCAATTTAGGGCTTTTTCCCAAGTGGTCCACATTTAGGTGGGTCAAAGGTGGGTATCTTTGCAGATGTGCCTTGGTCTGCCAGTCCCTTTCAGGGACTCCAACTGCCACACTCCTCAGCCTAGAATGTTTGACCCTCAGGGGAGGGGAGGTTGCCTCATTTGGTTTTGCCCAGTGCTGCTTTCCCCCCGCCTGTGCCAGAGCTTTGTTTGGGCGTCCGTATTAGCAAGGTTGCCTCTAAACCTGTGCAGAGTGTGAGTGGCTAGGGGATCCCGCAGCCAGGCTGGGGCGGGTTTGGGTACAATTGGCTGTTTAAATAATGTTTTTTGGTATTTTGGAAAAAGCCTCCATTGAATTTACTTTTATTTTTTAACATGACTGTTTCTTGGTCGGTTCACTAAGAGACATTTATTGGCAGCTGTTGTAATAAAATTGTATTGATTGTGGGTTTAATCTAGAATGATTCAAATGAAATATTCAATATGTCCTCCTTTGTCCTCCTTTTTGTCTTTCTATGTCCTCCTTTTAGTACCCATGTATCTGGCAACCCTAACCAAGGCAGGGTTCTCTAGAAAAGACAATAATCCTGGGAGAGATGGAAGGCATCAGAAAAAGAGGAAGACAAACTATGTGGTTGACTGACTCCCTAAAGGAGATGAGTTTACAAGAGTTTACAGGCTTGAGTTTGCAAGAGTTGAGCAGGGCTGTCGAGGACTGGGCATTCTGGAGATCACTTATAGAGTCACCATAAGTTGGAAGTGAACCGATGGCACATAATAAGATGGGTAGAACTCCCCAAATGGGAGAATTATGATACCTGGAGTCCAGAAAATCCAAAAATCCCATCCCTGGTGGTCTATGGGGAGCTCACATCAGAACATGAGTACTATAACACTCTTCTTGTATTTCCTATCAAGTGGTCACCAGAAGCATACTGGGATTTCTCAGCATGAAAATTACTTACAAAGGATATCAGGAGCTGGCAACAAACTCAAGAAATCATCTTCTACTTCCTGCTGTGAATATTTGAGCAGGGATCGCTTGTGTGCAACCACGAGAATTTGCTGGAGAACCTCTATATTCCGGAGTTTTTTGCACAGGCTGCAAACTCTTAAGGCTTCTTCATGACAAACGAGAGCTCTCTTCAAGTGGGCTTTTCCTAGAGAAACAAAAATGGGAGGACCATAAACAGGATTGCAGGATTGACTGTGTTTTCTTTTCTCCCTTGCTTGAAGTTACTTAAACCAGTAAAGGCTGATCCTATCATAGCATGGTTTTGCCTGCGTTTCCTTTTCCAAACCAGAGCGGTGAAACCCCAGAACCACAATCTGTTGCCATCTGAACAAGCTTCCTGCAAGAAGCAGATGACCAACATATAAAAATAAGGATTTGTTCTACTGAGAGTAAATAGATGTGATTTTATAAAAGCGTTTCCAGAGATAGAGCTCTGCACACCATCAATTAAAAGGAGCAACAGGTCTTCTGCCTTTTCCTCCTTAACACGTTTTCTGTGGTTAAAAAAAGAGAATAATATTATTTACTGAATATTTTTAAATTAATTAATTAATTTAAAAACCCACATGTATTAGCAAAACCATGCTACTCAGATTTGTGCCTTTCAAGGGAGAAGTGTAGTTTCCCATCACCTGTTGGGCAGCATAGCAACAATTTTTTTTTAAAAAAAGTTGCAATTTCTTCAGGGTAGAACAAGGCAGGACAATGGCTTGACCCTTATGTTGGGACCCTTATGCAAATGATGGCTTTGACCAGATGGTTTTGGTTCTAAACCAAGGATGGGAAACCTTCCCTTTCAATGTTTTGGCCTTCAACTCCTCTCAGCACCAGACAGCATGGTTTATACTGGTTCATGAGAGATGTAGTCCAAAACGGGGGGAGGGCTGAAGAGTCCACATTCTATTCTAATTTGTGATTAGTGAAATACCTGGTTTGACGTTATGTCTGAACAGAACCAAGAAAGGGGCGTTTGGTCTTACCTAGTTGTTTGCGTCGAACTCTGTCCCTTAAAATAGCCAAGGGTGACAGAGCTTCTGGCATGTGGTCGTACAGTTGGGAGAAGGCCTTTTCCTGTTGGTCTTCATCATCGTTTTCACGTACTGGAAGAGAGAAAATAAACTGAAATGAAAGACAGAATGAATATTGGTTTACTGTTATTTCCTGTGTGGATGATATACCTTAAGGCTTCCTGCTCTGTGAAAGTTATTTCTGGAAATGCTGACCACTGTCAAGATTATGGCCAGGTCAGAGAGGCCCACACTAGCCATTAAGCTACATTGCCCAAACATCCCAGGAGGGCCGGATGTGCTAACGGCTAGGGAAAATCTTCCTGCCCAATACCCCTCCCAACACTTTAAGTCACCCTGACTGCTCCAGGGAGCTACCAAAAATCACAGGGCTAAGCACTATTGACACTTACGCCAACCCTGCAAGGTAGGAATACCAAAATACCCACAAAATAAAAAGGCACTCAGAGGGTGGTCAAGGCAAGGCCCCTCTTTAGTACCAACAACTCTCCTGTAACCAAGAAACCAAGCTGTTGTAAGATTTTATACTTTATTAAAGATGTTGCAAGAAAAAGACAAAACCCTGAGGTTTCCAAACAATTTCAAAAATCATGAAAATTAATCAAAAAGCCGTGCAGCAAATAAGCATTCAAAAAGATTCATGGCTTGAGGCAAGAACACTTCCAAAAGAGTTCCCACAGGAAAATAAGAAAGCTAGCTAACCTAAACTAATTCACATATTGGCAGAATATCAGCATGGTTCCCGAGCACACACAGATGAGCATAGCAACCTCTTAAGAGATACTAAGTAAATTCCCTTTTCACTTTTATACCCATCATTCTTATTCTACAAACAATTTTTATTTTTTATTAAACAAAAACACATAGTAGAGAAACAAAAGAACAACAAACAAATAAC